AAAAAAAGAAATAACGGATCATTTATTGATACCAATAGCCTAGGCCACTGTTTCTCAACCTTGACAATTGTAAGGCATGTGGACTTCAACTCCCAGAATTCCACAGCCAGCAATGCTGGCTGTGGAATTCTGGGAGTTGAAGTCCACATGCCTTACAATTGTCAAGGTTGAGAAACACTGGCCTAGGCAGGCACAAGACCCCAGTGGATCCCAGCCGATTCTTAATGAAATAACTGATGAATCCACTATGTTCTCCCTTGCATAGTCTGGCCTCTTTACAACAGCCCTGCGAGGTAGACCGCCACCCCAAGTTTAACCCTTTCTGAGCACCTACCCCGCCCTCCGAGGCCCCCAACCGGCCCCAGCCATGTTTTTCCCCTCCTTTCCTTTCACTCACGTTTAACACTTTCCTTTCCGACATTTTGCCTCTTCGCGGTTCTTCCCAATCTCCGTGAAACTCTTCCCCAAACACCGCTACTTCCCGGATTCTCAACGCGTCCCGCCTCCTTCGCTACTATTGGCTGTCAACGTCGTAACGCAGCAGAAGGTGCATTCCTATTGCCGTAATGTGCAGTCAGTCACTATTTAAGCCCCGCCCGGCCGACGCTCCGTTATTGCGTCTTTTAACCAGCGCCTCGCGCGCCTGTTTATGTCACGTTGTTTGTCCTTCGCTAAAATATTCCGTTGGGGAAAACGAAGCTGTGACATCGCTAGTTCCGGAGCCGCAGGATTGGGCCTTAGGTTGAATAGAAGTTATGAAGAGCGTTTAATAAAAAAAAATAATGCCTATGAAATATTCATTACCTCTACTAAATATTTAACACTTCGAAATATTGATGGCTCCTTTTTAATTAAAAAGCCAAATTGCTTGGGGATTAAAGTTTATTAGATGCTTGGTACTGTTTGCACAAGGGCTAAATCCTAAAATTATTTTCATGGCAACATGTTTAATAAAGTAATAATCATTGTTGCTGCATGCTCAGAGCTTCCTTCCGTCCTCCCAGGATGTTGTTGAGTTTATTTATGTTTTGTCTTTAAAATGTATATATTGCCTTTGCAAACCAGTTGTCCCAAATGGCTTATGAAATCTTTTGTTGAATTATCAAACACAAACTAAAAACAGCCACTAAATGTAAGCATACAGTAGGTATAACGATGCACAACAGAGAAATGAAGGCCATTAAACCAATTATTGTATTTATTTATATTTCATTATTGAATTTATATGTTGCTCATCTTGTTATTGTTGAAGGAAAAATCTTCATCATGGTTCAGTCCAAGCCGGGAATAAACGACATGGCGACTGCTTTAGAAAGAAGGTTGCAGTTTATTGAAGAGGAGAGCCAGACAGGAAGATGGCTCTGGCAGGAAAAAGAGGGAGCACATGTAGGGTTTTTATACCTTCTTGAGCCTTTTGTTTGGAGTTGTTCCTGTGGCATGAACTTTGACCTGAGTCTGAGTGTGCCTTTCTGGTATTCTGACGGTGGTGGGTTAATCCTATTATGTCCCAAAGGTCAATCCTGCTTCCCTGAGGCTGTGGCTGATGACTCTTAGATTTTTGGTGTGAGGGATTGTTGATTCTAGGGATCTTTCTTCGTAATCCCAATTTCCTGACTCCAGTCTTTCTGACAAGATTATCACATCTGCAATTCTGCAGACTTGGTTTCTGTTTGGGACAGAGAGACTTGGGGGCGGGGTTGGTTTCTGCTTTTAAAATCCTTTAGGGAAATATATTCTTTTAAATATTTCCAAAAATATTTTTCTCAGGGGGGGGGGGCTGACTTCCCACATTAACCAAAGCGACTTGTTTATTAGAATAGAATAGAACTGGAAGGGACCTTGGAGGTCTTCTAGTCCAGCCCCCTGCTCAAGGAGGAGAACCTACACCAGGGGTAGGCAATCTCGACTCTTTTATGACTCATGGACTTCAACTCCCAGAATTCCTGAATCAGCATAGCTGACTCAGGAATTCTGGGAGTTGAAGTCCATGAGTCATAAAAGAGCCGAGGTTGCCTACCCCTGACCTACACCGTCTCAGACAAGAGACTGTCTAGTCTCTTCTTAAAAACCTCCAGTGATGGAGTGCCCATGATTTCTGAAGGTAAGCTGTTCCACTGGTTAACTGTCCTCACTGTTAGGAAGTTTCTCCTTAATTTCAGAATGCTTCTCTCTTTGATCAGTTTCCAACCATTGTTTCTTGTCCTGCCCTCTGGTGCTTTGGAGAATAGTTTGATGCCCTCTTCTTTGTGGCAGCCCCTCAAATACTGGAACACTGCTATCAGGTCACCCCTTTTTCTTCTTTTCTTTAGACTAGCTAGCCAAACCCAAGTCCTGCAGCCGTTCTTCATATGTTTTAGTCTCCAGGCCTTTGATTATTTTAGTTGCTCTTCTCTGAACTTTTTCCAAAGTCTCAACATCTTTTTTTGTAGTCTGGTGACCAAAATTGGTTGCAGTATTCCAGGTGCGGCCTTACTAGGGTTTTATAAAGCAGTACTAATAGTATGTGTGATGTTGATTCTATGCCTCTGATTATACAACCCAGGATTGTATTAGCTTTTTTGGTTGCTGCTGCACACTGCTGACTATTACATTTATTAGACCACCAACTACCAAGTGTCTTTGGTGATTTTTATACATTTAAGATATGAGGGCTTCTGAGCAGCCATCTTCATCCTTAACAGAAAAGAAAAAAGGCTTCCAATTGTGGTTGTAAGTTGACAATTACCTGTAATCAATCAGATAAAATAAAAATAACTGGAAAGAGCCAAATTGGAAAGGAAAAACAGCTTTGAGCAGGAGAGACTCTGTGGAAATTCCACATTGGTGAAAGCTCTGCGCGGGATCGAATTTTGCCACCACAGGAGGAAAAGCAGAGAGATAGAGATAGATATAAAGATAGATAGAGAGATAGAGAGATAGATAAAGATAGAAAGATAGATGGATAGAGATAGAGCTAAGAGCTAACAGATAGATAGATAGATAGATAGATAGATAGATAGATAGATAGATAGATAGATAGATAGATAGATAGATAGATAGATAGATAGATAGATAGATGATAGATAGATAGATAGAGATGGATAGAGATAGAGAGCTAATAGAGATATGATAGATAGATAAGATAGACGGATAGAGATAGAGATAGAGAGCTAATAGATAATAGAGATAGATAGATAGATAGATAGATAGATAGATAGATAGATAGATAGATAGATAGATAGATAGAGATGGATAGAGATAGAGAGCTAATAGAGATATGATAGATAGATAAGATAGACGGATAGAGATAGAGATAGAGAGCTAATAGATAATAGAGATAGATAGATAGATAGATAGATAGATAGATAGATAGATAGATAGAGAAAGATAGAGATAGATAGATGGATAGAGAGAGAGAGAGAGCTAAGAGAGAGAGAGAGATGATAGATAGACGGACAGATAGAAAGAGATAGAGTTGAGAGAGATAGAGAGATAGATAAAGATAGAAAGATAGATGGATAGAGATAGAGCTAAGAGCTAATACATAGATAGATAGATAGATAGATAGATAGATAGATAGATAGATAGATAGATAGAAATAGAGAGCTAATAGAGAGATATGATAGATAGATAAGATAGAAAGATAGACGGATAGAGATAGAGATAGAGAGCTAATAGATAATAGAGATAGATAGATAGATAGATAGATAGATAGATAGATAGATAGATAGATAGATAGAGAAAGATAGAGATAGATAGATGGATAGATATAGAGAGAGAGCTAAGAGAGAGAGAGAGAGATGATAGATAGACGGACAGATAGAAAGAGATAGAGTTTAGAGAGATAGAGAGATAGATACAGATAGGAAGAGAGAGAGAGAGAGAGAGAGAGAGAGAGAGAGAGAGAGTACCAGTGTTGGGATTCATATATGTGAATAACCGGTTCTCTGTGTGGATGCCGCTTCCAGAAGTCCATTCTGGGCCTGGGCAACAAAAAATTAGCTACCGGTTGTGCCGAAGTAGTGTGAATTGTTTGAATCCCACCACTGGATAGAGGGCCCCGAATCCTCACTCCGGCTCCCAGGACGCCCCAGAGGCTAGAAGACTCCAGGCGCTGTATTCTCCGTTATCCAGGAAGTCTTTCGCGGCTACTTGGATGTGGTACTTTACACCAGAACGGATCCCACTGAGGGTAAAGGAGGTCTTCTCGATTGGCCTGATCTGGGGAAGCAAAGAAAAATACAGCTAGAATAGAACAGAAGAGAACAGAATGAGGCCTTTGCACTATGGGTGCTGGAGAAGACTCCTGCGAGTCCCCTGGACTGCAAGGCGATCAAACCGGTCAGTCCTGGAGGAGATCAACCCCGACTGCTCTTTAGAAGGCCAGATCCTGAAGTTGAAACTCAAATACTTTGGCCACCTAATGAGAAGGAAGGACTCACTGGAGAAGAGCCTGATGCTGGGAAAGATGGAGGGCAAGAGAAGAAGAAGGGGACGACGGAGAACGAGGTGGCTGGATGGAGTCACTGAAGCAGTAGGCGTGAGCTTAAATGGACTCCAGAAGATGGTAGAGGACAGGAAGGTCTGGAGGAACATTGTCCATGGGGTCGCGATGGGTCGGACACGACTTTGCAACTAACAACAACAAGAAGTGAACTTTGTAAATTGAGGACTACCTATAATGACTGTTGTAGTGTCCTGTGGTCATACGATCGCCATTTGTGACATTTCATCCTGGCTTTTGATAAGCAAAGTCAATGGGGAAAATCAGATTCTGTCAGAACCCATATTCTAAAGAGATTCTTTTCTTTCTTTAACTCAACCTTTGCTCTCTCTATACTTTTGGGTTCTGCCATACTCCTGGAGGGGGGGGGGAAAGCATGGCGGGTTATTACTTTGTTTCCTCTATTGTTACACTGTAACACTATCTGTCAACGCTGCTAACATTGGATGGTCTTGCTTTGACAAAATATGCAGAGGTAGCCACTCTCTGTATAAGCTGTGTGGTATTTTTAGAGTTAAATTAGATGATGCTGGGAGGGGAGGAGAAAGAATGTGCGTGGGGTTTAGTTAAGATAAGAAACCCTGGGGCTACAGAACAGAAGGGAACCTTTGCCCTTCAAACAGATTGGAGAACTTGATTTATGACAGCGAATTAGGAGAGGGAAATATGTTGGCATAATATGTGCTCAGGGGAGGGGAATTCAGATCTTGGCATCCTCCATGCTGTGCCAACACTTTGTTACATGATTAAAGACTTTTTAGGATAAACAACACCTGGAGGTTCTTTGAAGTGTTTCGTAATCGGAACCATGACACTATCTCTCCCCTTGATATCAACTAGAAAGCAAGGAGGAGCTCTGTTCTGGACCCAGTGCTCTTCAACATCTTCATCAACAATTTGGACGAGGAGATAGATGGGGAAATCATCAAATTTGCAGACAACACCAAGCTGGCAGGAATAGCCAACACTTCAGAAGACAGGCTTAGGATACAGGAGGATCTGGACAGACTTGAACACTGGGCACTATCTAACAAAATGAAATTCAGTGGTGAAAAAAATAAGGTTCTACATTTAGGCAAGAAAAAACAAATGTACAGGTATAGTATAGGGGGTACCTTGCTCAATAGTAGTAACTGTGAGAGGAATCTCAGAGTCCTAGTGGACAATCACTTAAATATGAGCCAGCAGTGTGCTGCAGCTGCCAAAAAGGCCAACACAGTGCTAGGCTGCATTAATAGAGGGATAGAATCAAGATCACGTGAAATATTAATACCACTTTACAATGCCTTGGTAAGGCCACACTTGGAATGCTGCATCCAGTTTGGGTCACCACGATGTAAAAAAGATGTTGAGACTCTAGAAAGAATACAGAGAAAAGCAACAAAGATGATTAGGGGACTGGAGGCTAACACATATAAGGAACGGCTGCTGGAATTGGGTATGTCTAGTTTAACGAAGAGAAGGACGAGAGGGGACATGATAGCAGTGTTCCAATATCTCAGGGGCTGCCACAAAGAAGAGGGAGTCAAGCTATTTTCCAAGGTGCCTGAAGGCAGGACAAGAAGCAATGGATGGAAACTAATCAAGGAGAGAAGCAACCTAGAACTAAGGAGAAACTTCCTGACAGTCAGAACAATTAGCCAGTGGAACAACTTGCCTCCAGAAGCTGTGAATGCTCCAACACTGGAAGTTTTTAAGAAGAGACTGGACAGCCATTTGTCTGAAATGGTATAGGGTTTCCTGCCTGAGCAGGGGATTGGACTAGATGACCTCCAAGGTCCCTTCCAACTTTATTATTATTATTTACAAGAAAGCCTAAAACCACCTAGCTGGCACAGGAAGCTAGAAGCTTTGCAAGATACACGTCACCTGAGGAGGGCAATAGGTGGTGTGACATTTAGCTTTTTTGCATAGTAAGCGAGAAAGCTTTGGGGGGGGCTGCAATCCAGGTAACCAATCAATATTATATGTTATGCTTGTATTCTTGGGGGGAGGGCCAAAGGGCGTACGGGAATCACCCTGGAATATAAAAACGTCTGTAAAACCGTAATCGGGGCCCCCGGTAGCTTTCAAAGTTGAGATCACTTTTATCTCTTGGTACCAAAATAAAAGTTTTTCCATATCTTGGGTTTGGTGATCAATTGGCTTCAACACCAAGCTAAGACCCAGTTTTGGGAACAACAGTATGACTCGTGAAACTGCCTTGCTTAGCAACAGAAATCTCAGTCCCAATTGTACCTGTGAGTCCTCTATGCAAAAAAACTAACAATACGTCATCAGTAATAATGATTAAATATTAACATTATTATGAAATAATTAATAAAAAGAGAAGTTCAGGCTATTCAGGAAATAACTGTGTGGAATGACTGCCAGCTCCCTCACTCACCGTTCTGATCTGCCTGGATCCGTCCCTCGAATAACGCATGACATATTTCAGGGGAAAATATTCAGGATATAACCAGGAACTAGGAGCCTTCCATTGCACAAGCAATGTATTCGTCTTCCCTTGGATTGGGGAGACCATTACGTTTTCTGGAGGGTCTGGCCGGACTAAGGAAAGGGAAGGAGAGAATTAAATCAACCAAAAATGCCAATAGAAGTAGTCCTTGACTTACAACTGTTTGTTTAGTGACTGTTCGAAATTACAGCGGCCGGAAAAAAAGCGATTTATGATTGTTTTTCACACAACTGTTGCAGCATCCCCTATGGCAGGGGTAGGCAACCTTGGCTCTTTTATGACTCGTGGACTTCAACTCCCAGAATTCCTAAGCCAGCCATGCTGAGGGGACAGGGAGAGGTTTCCAAGTCATATAAGAGCCAAGGTTGCCTTCCCCTGATCTAGGGGGATCCACTAGCCATATAAGGAAGCCTGATCCCTTGATCTAGGGCAGGGGTAGGCAACCTTGGCTCTTATATGACTCGTGGACTTCAACTCCCAGAATTCCTGAGCCAGCCTGGCTCAGCTTGGAAACTTCTCCCTGTCCCCTCAACGTGGCTGGCTCAGGAATTCTGGGAGTTGAAGTCCACGAGTCATAAAAGAGCCAAGGTTGCCTACCCCTGCCCTATGGTCACGTGATCAAAATTCGGATGCTTGGCAACTGGCATGTATCTATGACGGTGGCAGTGTCCTTGGGTCATGTGACCCTCCCCCCTTTTGTGACCTTCTGACAAGAAATGTCAATGGGAGAAGCCTGACGCATTTAACAGCCATGTTACTAACTTAACAACCTAAGCGATTTACTTAACAACTGTGGCAAGGGAGGTTGTAAAATGGGACAAAACCCACTTAACGACTGTCTCGCTTAGAAATGGAAAATTTTGGGCTCGGTTGTGGTCGTACGTCGAGAACAACCTGCCTCCAGAAGCGGTGAATGCTCCAACACTGGAAGTTTTTAAGAAGAGACTGACTAGCCATTTGTCTGAAATGGTATAGGGTTTCCTGCCTGAGCAGGGGGTTGGACTAGATCAGGGCTTTTCAACCAGTGGTACGGCTACCACCTGTGGTACATTGGGACCTGGCAGGTGGTACGCGACCATCCTAGAAAAGTGGTAGTGGGGGAGGGGAATGAGCTGAGCCTGAGCGAGAGACGGCTGGAGCTGCAGGGCTGTCAGGGCTCAGCGGAAGCGCCAGGATCAGCACCAGGCTCCAGCTGGAGCTCAGCGCTGATCCTGGTGCTTCTGCTGAGCCCAGAAGAAGCGCCGATCAGCTGGAATGTTGCAGCCTCTCCAGGGTCTTGTGATTTACATTCAGATGCTTGGCAACTGATTCATATTTATGACGGTCACAGTCTCCCAGGGTCATGTGAAGTGACCAAAACCTGCTGCAACCACCCAGCAGACGGGGGGAATAAAAACCAAACACTCCCCACCCCACCCCTGCTGCCAATCCTCAACAGAAATGCTCACAACAATGAAACCTCGGATAGGAGGAAGAGCGCGTCCAGGTGGGCAGGCAGGTGTCTTGCCCGGCTGTGGCTTGGGGGGGCACTTTTTCAGTGCCATTGTAACTTCGAACAGTCGCTAAGTAACTGTTGTAAGTTGAGGACTACCTGTACTTTATCACTTTTTTCCTTTTTGGGGGGGGTCATCAAGTTTTTGACACCTTGCTAGGTGACTAGTGGTACTCGGATGTTGCCATATCCTAAAAGTGGTACAATGAGTGAAAAGGTTGAAAAGCCCTGGACTAGATGACCTCCAAGGTCCCTTCCAACTTTATTATTGTTATTAACAACCTGCCTCCAGAAGCTGTGAATGCTCCAACACTGGAAGTTTTTAAGAAGAGACTGGACAGCCATTTATCTGAAATGATATAGGGCAGGGGTCTTCAAACTTGGCCCTTTTCTGACTTGTGTACTTCAACTACCAAAATTCCTGAGCTGGCCATGCTGAGGGGAAAGGGAGAGGTTTCCAAGCTGAGCCATGCTGGCTGAGGAATTCTGGGAGTTGAAGTCCACGAGTCATGAAGGAGCCATAGTTCCCCCATGCTGGCTGAGGAATTCTGGGAGTTGAAGTCCACAAGTCATAAAAGGGCCAAGTTTGAAGACCCCTGGTATAGGGTTTCCTGCCTGAGCTACTTTATTGTTGTTGTTGTTGTTGTTGTTGTTGTTGTTGTTATTATTATTATTATTATTATTATTATTATTATTATTAACTACCTGTAACTGGAAAAATAAAAGCTGGCCACATCAAGACATGAGAAATAACCTTAATGTGGAATCCCAGCTACTATTCCATGACCCATAAAACTGTCAAATCTTCACCAAGATCGCCAACGGCAATCAAGCAAATAATAAACCAATAAATAATAAACCAATAAAAGAGAGTAGGGATGGAAGTTGTATTACTATTAATGTCAGATATGTGGACCCAGACCCCACGTTGTTTATTAAGCACTAAAGATTGTAACTATGAAAACTTAATAAAATATCTATTAAAAAAGAAAGAAAGACTGGGGCCACCCTATTCATAAGCAAAACGCCTACAGCCACAGTTCTCATAGAAGGTTGGAGCTGATGGATTTAGAAAAACACTCCTAAAATCTACATTCCCCACCCAGCTCCCAGGCCAGGCCGTGACCTCCCAGCCACAATCTGGACACAGAAAACAATAATTAGAATACTAAAAGGGCACACTCAAGCAAAGGTCAAAGTACATTTCACAACGCACAGGCGTCTCAAACACAAAGCCCCAAAAGAAGGTATAAAAACCTACCTACTCTCAACTCCCTTTTGTCAGCTGTCCCAGAACCGCATGCTGTTGCTGGTTCTGCTCATCAATAAACAGACCTTCCTTCCTAAGCAGCTAGCCTCCATTTTATTTCCAGTGCCTTTCTCCCGGCTTGGAACTGGACCAGATTTTTCTTTTCAACATACCTAACCTGTTTTAAATAAGTGGTTGAACTGGACCCACGATGGTTTGTTCCGAGATATTAAAAGGGCTATCAAACCACATTTCTGCACCAGGACCAAACACAAAACCCTGTTTTCCTCTTCTTGCTGGGGGGCAGACTGTTTTAATGCCCCCATCAGAACAACTAGAGGTGAGAATTGCTTGAAAACTCACTGATCTGATCCGGGGAAACTAGGGAGAAATGACTGGCTGTCCCCAGCGGATTCACAGCTGTCACGTTGAGCCTGTAGGGATCGGTGGAGAACATCTGCAAGGCGGTCATACTGCAACTGTGGCTCCCTGCAACGGGTTGTATGCACTGATGGACTTCTTCCATTAAGCCGTGCCTGTGTCCACAAGGAAAACTGGGTTCAGACATGCATTGCATATGCAGCAGCTAAAGGGTTGTATGAGCGGGTGTCCCAGTGACTGGGAATTGAAGTCCACATGCCTTAAAATTGTCAAGGTTGAGAAACACTGGCTCTAGCGAGACTCACAGGAACATGCTGGACGACTCAATCGTGGTGGAGTCGCCCTCGACCGAAGGAGCAGGGCCCACAGATCAGAATGTGTTGGAAGACTTGTGTCCCAGTCTTTCCGGGACTGTTCCGCTCACAGACAGAGAGACTGGTCTACCCGGCCAGAGAAGTCAAAGAGAGACTGGGTTACCCGGCCCGAGTAGTCAGTTAGACTCAGGTCTATCTATAGCTAGCGGGTCAAAGAGCCCTGGTCTACCCAGACAGCAGAGGGTAGACCGGGAACCTCCGGCAGAAATGCGGCGATCAGAACGGTCGCGGAAGCCGCCTGCCTATCTACATGACTATGTTCATTTTATGGATGTGTGAATTATCCAGGGGGAAGGGGTGTTGTGTATTGACCCAATTGCGTAGGGACGGTTATAAACGGTTAGTTAATAGGTTTTGGTTCAAATCCTTAACTGTCTGTGTGTAAATGCAAGCCTGTGTTTAGGCGGGAATCTTTGCTTTAATTTCATTGGCTGCCGCCTAGTGGCGGTCCGTATAGATATGAGTCGAGCGCAGTTTGGCGCTGCTTCTGTGTGAACTGAATAAACAAGCTGTTGCTTTCACTCCTGTGTCTTCAATGCCTCGCCGAACCCAGTATACAGCAGCTACAGTACCTTCAGTTCCTTGAAACTGTAGAATTGATTGATTAACAAGCAATTATCTGCAAAAAAATGTTTGTCTCGAAGGATAACTTTCCTTCCTTCCTTCCTTCCTTCCTTCCCTCCCTCCTTCCTTCCCTCTCTCCCTTTCTCCCTTCCTTCCTTCCTTCCTTCTTTCCTTCCTTCCTTCCTTCCCTCCTTCCCTCCCTCCCTCCTTCCTTCCTTCCTTCCCTCTCTCCCTCCCTCCCTCCCTCCCCCTCCCTCCCTTCCTTCTTTCTTTCCTTCCTTCCTTCCTTCCCTCCCTCCCTCCCTCCTTTCCTCTCTCCCTCCCTCCCTTCCTTCCTTCCTTCCCTCTCTCC